GTGCCTAAAATCGTTGAAGAGATCTATGATTTTCATGTTCGGTATCCAGACTAAAAAGTCACCTATATCACCAATGTGCACCAAACCCGTGCACATTCGGCCTAAAATCACCATTTTAAACCTGTTCAGAAATCAGCCCGAAACTGACATCTAGGGTCGTTTTTGGGGAAAAAAAAGCTTTCACAAAAGTTGTCCGGAACGAAATTTTCTTTAACTTGATGTTGGTCACTTTTTGAAATTAAGCTTTTATCTTAGTCTTTTAGCCAAAACAGCGCCGGTACCATTTTTCGGGTCAATAATCTAGTTTTCAATTTTGGTCTGAAACTGAGAATATTCATCGTTTTAGGTTTCCACACATCTTCGATCACCTAATCAACTTATTTTACACATCTCATTACTCCTATTCTTCATTACAACTTGATTAGGTTCAAATTCTCAAATTAAATTCCAGCAGAGTTCCGCCTAATTTTTGTGTTTCCCGAGCTAACTGTAGCTCGTTTTATCCGTTATTTCAACCTTTCAAACACATATCACAACCTTTCTCATTCTTTTTATCACCATAAACATCATAAGCTCTAGGGTTTCAACACTATTCTCACAAGAATTCTTCCTAAATAAAAATCCTAAAAACATAACCCAATAACTGAAAATTTATCCTTTAGACATTAGGTTATTCAGTACCATTCATTATCATAAGCAAATCATCATTCTGAGCAAAAAAATTTCATGGTTTCTACTATTTATAGCCAATGCAGCCAAGGTGAAAAATGAGAAGAAAAATTGAAATTTTACTTTAGAAGAATGAAGAACAAGTTCCGGTGACGCTAATCAATGGTAGTTTTCTGCCGGTTTTGATTTGAACTCGGTTTTCTCACTTTGGGAAAAAAATTTTCATCTCTTTCTTTGGCTGAGTTCTCTCTGTTTTCTTGCATGAAAATTTTTGGGAAAATTTTTTTCATCTCTTTCTTTGGCTGAGTTCTCTCTGTTTTCTTGCATGAAAATGGACATTTTTCTTGTATTTTTCCCTTATAAAAACGTTCACAAAAATGATGAGGGACCTAGGTGCAATTTTGACACTTTCTAGGGTCTTTTTTTTTGCAAAAATATCAAAATATCTATTTGGCTTCTCCCCTAAGTCTTGGCTGGCCATATCCTCTCTTTCTAGGTGTCCTAATCTCAGCCCTCCATCCATTTAATTACCTTAAATCTCAACCATTCATTTTTAATAACTAACTTATTTCAGTTCAGTTTAATTCCTATCTAGTGCGCGTTTCATCTACGTTTTTCAGACAGTTGGTCAACTGGTCAACTTTACTCAACCTTGACTCACTTTTCGAGAGTGACCTATTGGTCGACTCTTCATTAACAAATTTTGACTCGGTCAACCCTAATCGGTTGAAACCCTAATTTTCACAATTCGGCCTTCCGAACCCCTTTATTGTCCGTTCTTCGTTCTGATTGTTTCTAAAACTCTAGAATTGATGTTTTTCAATCCTTTTTTTATTTCTTAAACTTATTCATGTGTTTGTCCTCTATGGGAATAACACAACGTTTCATGCCTCTTTCTTGATTACAGTCTGAAATTCAATAATTATATCATAGTTCAGAAATTTTTAACTTTTAACTTATACTTTGCTATTCAATATCAATATCAACAAATACTTATCATGAAGGTATTCATATTTATAACATAGAGAATTTCAAAAAATTTTATCTTATACAATAATTTCTTCGACAAATTTTCTGGTCATGACAGATTGCTTGTCACCGATCGGCACATACGGTTTGCAAAGATATTTGTCACGCGTTACTCGTTGCTAACTCACCGCTTAAGATGAATACACAAGAGAAGCTACCCTCTCTGAACTTTGTGGAAGCTCTCCTACCATCACGGACGTGACCACCATAACGGTTACAAAGAGGATGTTGGAGATGAGTTCGTGGTAATTGCCCACTAACTCATACCACTACTTTGTCGCTTTCCCCAAATAAAGAGAGGGGGACAACCGCCAAGGCAACCACCCCATCCGACCTTTATAAATAGAGGATCAACATCGTTTAGAAGGGATTTTTGAATGCCATTTTGCTTACTGTTACTCTGCAGAAATTCCTTTAGAGATATTGTACTCAAACAACTTTGTAAGCCTCCGATTGAAGATAGTGAACAACCCAACAGTGGATGTAGCCCATTCAAGAGTTAACCACTATAAATTATGATTTGGTTATTTACTTTCTCAACTAAATTTGTTTCATAGTTATATGTCATATCGTTTTCTATCTTAATCATACGTAGTTAATGATGTTGAAGATAATAACGATGATCAATGGCCCTTAATTCAAATTACTAATTTTCTTAACTAATTTATTTTATTTTCTGATTGACCGTAAATCACTACGTCTACTCTTATAAGCTTTCTCTATCTTCTTGTGCTTCTTGTGAAGCACTTTACTCATCCTAGCTAATAGGTAGCATCGCGATTTGTTATTGGTCTTAATGCAACAGTCATAGGCTTTTCTCGCTACCTTAGTTGCATTTGCCTCAAAGACCAGAGGACATTTCTCCAATAGGATAAATTTATAGTCATCACTTATGAGCAAGAAGCTCATGTTACTTTTTCACTTAACCTTGTTTTCTTTGGGCAGTGTTTCGTTTGCAAGTAAAATTCATTTTAATATATATATATATATATATATATATATGCATGAATATCATTCACTAAAAAAATTTAGGCATAATTAGATGATACATGATACACATGAAAAATACATAAAATCATGTTTTTATTTTATTGTCCACGATAATTCAATTTACCACAAATAAAGTATAACTTTTTGGTAGTCAAGATACATGCTAATTGTACCGAGATATTCTCAATTAATAAGGTTATCAAAATATCTCATATTTTCCACTCTTATTAACTACTATTATTTTGGCTAAAATATAATTAACCATTTTAATAATATTTTTATCAGTCTAAGCCAATGTTTCAGATCCCACAGACTTAACTCCAGGTTACTACTTTTGGGTAGTCAATCCTAAAATACATCTTGAAGTCCTATCGCTAGGAAGCCAACTTGGTATTGATCTGACTAGAACACTCTCTGTATGGAGGGCGAAATTAAAGCCACCACAAAGCCCCTCCAAAGTCCCTCTCCGAATCTCACGATGTTGTGCAAACGGTGGAGACTACTGGGTCGCATTTTCACACAACCCTCCCCGTTCAATATTTTGCAAATTATGTATTTATTTTGTAAAGCATCTCATGTTTACAAATCCTAATAAAATAAACAATCTATTTTATTAGATATGAAATTCAAAATTTAACTCTTAAATTCAATTTCACATATTACATTATTTTACAAATTAAAATTGCAACTAAAATTAATTTAATCTCATTAAATCAATTTAAGAGCATAATCCTTATTTTGTTTAAAAAAAACACTTTTTAACAAAATAAAATAAATAATAAATGTGCGTGTGTACATGACATGTAATTAAACATATGAATAGACACACTAAATCTAATATAGAATGGAGATATAATATATAATTATCAAATATAAAATATAAAATATGCAATTGGATATTTAAATTATAATCCAAATAAATAAATAAAATTATATTAATTTACTTCGTCCATTACATTCAATGAGTCTTTAAAAGTTCTTCGATCTTTAATTAACTGCATCATGGGTTTTCGACCAACACTTGGCCTGAAACTCTTTCGAAAAACCTCACGGGCCAATAGTTCAAAATAATTTTTTTTTATATAATTTTTGGTTCAAAAACAATTCACCCATATTTTTTTAACAACTTTCAAAGCTTAATAGTTACAAGAAAAGTAGAATTTAACATTTTAAATAATTTTATGTATTGAAACATAAATGAAAATAACATGTTATATTATATTTTTTGGTATTAAATATACAATTGACATTAGAATTTATATTAGAGATGGTATTAATAATAAAAATAACATTGTTATATTATATTTTTTTGTGTTAAATATACAATTGACATTAGAATTTATATTAGAGATGGTATTAATAATAATCACAATTACTATCTAATTACAAAATTAAACACATAATAACTATTAGCATTTTTTTATTAGACCTTTAAAAAATTATAAGACATTAACCCTTTTTTAAATATGTATTTCATTAAAAGACTTTAAAAACAAAAAACTCTCGCGTTACTCTCCCTCTCCGATAGATTCACAGGTGGGAGGGGTCGATTGACAGCGATCTCGCGCGAGTTAGATGCACGTGTGGCTAAGGAATCACATCTTGAAGCTGAGAGCAGGAGCGGGCTTGGCGACGAACTGTAGAACTGGAGGCGAGAGCGGGCTCAACGACAATCTGGCATGCTAGATGGTGCGGTAATGGAAATGTTTAGTTAATGGATTAAAATCATGAGATTAAAATTATTTTCGATTTACGTGTATTTTTTTGTGAGAAAACACTGTAACGAACGATGAACTATGACTCAAATCATGATATGAATTCCCTTACTAAATGTCTCCTTTAATTCCCTTAATTACTATGAGTGACATGGTACGAAATAAAAGGAAATAATTAAATTTAATATTATTTTTTTATTTTTTGTTTTATAAATAAATAACTTAAAAAATATGTATTTTTTATCTTTTAAGATAGTAATTAGAGAATTTATGAGAAGGAAAAAACACTCGTGTTTCTAAAGTGCTAGAAAAAAAAGAGATTTCTGGGATTATACTTGAAAAAGAAATTATGAATAAATTTATAAATTTTAATCGTTAAATTTATATCATTTATTTAATATACATAATGTTTAATTAATATAATTTTAACATACATAACGATTAGAAATACATTATACATAATACGTCTTTTGGACCAAAGCAGAGAGCGTGATTTTTTTTTTTTTGCCTTATAAAAAAGGATTTTTACACAACTCCCGAGAATAGGGAAAAAAGACTTGCACAGTCTTTTAACCCAAAGAAAAAAGAAACTGACAATTACAAACACAAACTGCAAAAAAAGGATTAGCAATTTGGCAGTCATTTTTCTGCAGTTTAGGCGTAACAGTTTGACTATTTTGTTTATTAAATTAATAATTATTCGGTAAAGGCAACGCAGCAGGATATATCTTTCGTCTTTCGTTTTCTTCTCCTTCATCCCATTTTCTCTTCTTTCTCTCTCTAACTCAAACCCCTCTCTCCATAGTTGTCCCTCTCCTACAGCTCATATCTCAATCTCTCTCTACAATCTCCATTTCCATCCATGAATTGACCCTCTTCAGGAGTTTTCACTGTAAGTCTCTTTCTCTCTTCTTCTCTTTCAATTTCCCCAAGTGCAATTGCATATAGATGTAAAATAGAGAAATGGGTTTTGTGGTTTAGGCAAAAGGGTTACTTTCTGAGTTTAATTATTATCCAAAACTATTTGCTGATATCAGATTTTGAAATTTGTATGTTGCATAGCAATTTTTCCTTTCTACTTATAGGGAGGCCTATTGCTAACTTTCTTGTTTCAATTGGGTAGTCAACGCTAGGCAATGAAGTTGGTTGCGCAGATTTTGTGCAGATTTAGCATTTTTTAAGATCCAATGTTCCATGGAATTTTTTTTTTTTTTAATTGAAGTGAAAGAAGAGGGTGGAACTAGACGAGACCAATATTGGTAATTGATTAAGATGGAGACCCATATGAATATAATCGGTGTTGGGACTTTTGAAGAACTGACTTTTAATTACTATGTCCACTTGGGTAAGGATAAGAAATGGCATAAGATGTTTGTACAGAAATAGATGAACTTATAAAGAGGAAGTGTTCTCAACACTACGCACTTGTTTAATGGTGAACACTATCAATATCTGCTATTTGTTTGACACGAACCAAATTAGGATTCTAGTGCCTGTGCTCTATTTGTACTAAACTCATTAGTGAAGAAGGGAGAGGCTTTGTTAAAGGTTTAATGGCTGATTCTAATTTCAATAAAAATAGTTGCAGAACTTTATAATTTTCTTAGTTTCCAATCCAGTGATGAAATGAGATCTTAATAAACAATGTATTGGAGTCTTTTATACGTGCTTTTCATAATATCTGGTCCTTTTCTTTTTCTGTTTTTCTTTTTGGCTTGTTGAATGTTATGAAAGATTCTCAGAAGCCTATGTAATAACGCTATTTCAGTGTAGATACAGCATTAAGAACCTAGAACCTAGCTGATCATAAAATGATACAACATGAAGAAGTTATTCCTGTATAGATAATTCACAAATTCTTTTTACCCTAGTAAATAATATGACTAATTCTAACAGACTCTTGATAAAGAAGAAAAGCAATAGTAGATAAGGCAAGCTCATGCCTAGGAAATAATTACCACTTTTATATTATATTAATCCTTTCTACATTAGCGTCTCCTGAATTCTAACGAACATGCACCTGTTGGTCTATGCTGCTTCTGGTTTTTCTTTAGGGTGCCAACCTTGTCAAATGGCTTGCCACTTTTTGTGTGAATTCAGTGACATTAGTAGAAATTGGTTTTTGCTCTAATTTGCATGTTTGTTGTGTTTTTACAGGTGAAATCTATGTGCTTGATAGACGGAAATGTTTGATTGTAGTTTTAAGTCGCAATACTTGGATGGCAAAAGAGAGAAGTTTGTGAGGTACCCAATTTAAAATTTGAAATGCACACACATACACACACACGTACATATATACAACATGGATAATGAAGCAATTATCTAAAACAAGGAGCAAAATTTAATGAAGCAAGTATCTAAAACAACAACGGTACTTCAGGTTTCTTTTGCCTAGGCATAATCACTCATAGCAGTAGGCTAGTAGCTGGCTACAACAAGGTGCTAATCATTTCTGTTTGTGTGGAGGGACATAAAGAATTGAAATGTTAAAATTTGATTTGTTGAAATTCAAAGGAAGGTGAAGGAAAAAAAGAGTGGATTCTTTGTCTCGTATATGGAGTTAAGGTTGAGAAGACTTTTGGCATGAAGAAGGTTCTGATTTCTCAAATGGAATAGTAGATATTCAGGTCATGGAGGTGTGTGCGTCAGTGCGCCTGTACGCGTGTTTATGTAAAAGAACAATGGTATTTTAGCTTCACTTTTTTTTTTTTTTTTTTTGCATAGGCATAATCATACCTAGCAGTATGCTAGTAGTTGGCCAGAACAAGGTGCTAATCATTTCCGTTTGTGTCGAGGAATATAAAGAATTGAAATTCTGTTTTGTTCAAATTCAAAGGGGTTCCTCTCCCTCTATCTCACCCCCGGTAAGGTATGGTTGGATTTTTTATTAACAGTGAAGTGGTTCATGGGCGTGAAACACGAACGAATCAGGGGGTTCGGGGGGATGTGCCACCGGAAACTAAATTGGAAATAAAAAGAAGAATAAACAAGCGAGTGAAGTGATTCACGGATGTGAATCACGAACGAATAAGAACTATCAAGAGGAAGGGGAGGGGGTTCGGGGGCCAATGAAAAAAGTTGGATTTTTTGTCTCTTGCATGGAGTTAAGGTTGAGGGACTTTTGGCATGAAGAAGGTTCTGATTTCTCAAATGGAATGGTAGATATTTGGGGCGTGGAGGTGATATGTATTGCTCTTTTTTTCCAATATGGAATTACTGCAAGATGGGCCAATTCCAAATGGTAGTAAAAGCAAAGTATTAGTTCATATGAAATTTTTTTTTTTTCCCTTAAAAAGGCATCACCTCTTCAACCGGAAAGACAAAGGTGTCACCCTGGTAATTTTGGAGTTAGGAGGATTTGTAATAAATGTTTTAGATCTATAATATACCTTTCTATTTCAAATCTTGAGCAAGAAAGGACCTATTTTCATAATACAGCTTTAAGTAGTTACAATACTGAGGAAATTTGCTCAGAAATACAGGTTATTGAAATACTTGAAGAAGTCATAAACTTTAACTTATGTGAACTACGACAGCTTGGAATTGGTTTTTGAACCGGCAAATCTGCTTAAACCTTAAGGATTATGTCTTATAACATTATGGGAACGATATTTTTGGGTATTACGGGATAAAGGGTGTCTAGTCCTTTTTTGTTTGTTTGTTTGTTTGCTCTTTTTTTTTTCCCCCTCTCTGATACAAACTTTATTTCCCAGATTGGATGACTTGGACTCTAGGTTATCCTCGCCATCTGATGCAGGGGGGAGAAAATGTGGATTTAATATTGAGGGAATAGGCGGTTCTCGTCATGCGAGGGATACATCATTTAAGAAAGGAATGAGAAAAGGGTCTGAAGGACTAAAGTCAATTGGTCGATCACTCCGATTTGGGGTTTCTCGTGCAGTGTTCCCCGAAGATCTTAAAGTATCAGACAAAAAGATATTTGATCCTCAAGACAAGTTTCTGCTGCTGTGGAATAGACTTTTTGTCGTATCATGTATTTTGGCTGTATTTGTGGATCCTTTGTTCTTTTATCTTCCAATTATAAATAGCTCAACAAATTGTCTTGGCATTGATAGAAACTTAGCAATAACAGCAACAACGCTGCGGACACTTGTCGATGCTTTCTATCTTATTCACATAGCTCTCCAATTCCGAACAGCTTATATTGCTCCATCATCTCGAGTTTTTGGACGAGGTGAACTTGTGATAGATCCTGCACAGATAGCTAAGCGATACTTGCGGTGGCATTTCATTATTGACTTCTTAGCTGTGCTACCCCTACCACAGGTTTAGAATGTGTTTCTTAATCTGTCTCTACACCCTTTATCCTCGTACTTATTCATTCCTATGACTCTTTAGTTTTTCATTTTGTTGTTCTTTTTGTATCTATTTTTGTTTTAGTTTATGTTGGCACAATACTTCCTTCGTAATTCATATTAGTTTAAATAATTCACCCCATGTGTTAGGGAGTTTCTGCGCTTATCAAGGTTGTTAGGCCAATTTCTTGTCTCTCTTTATTTTATTTTATTTCATGTTTGCACTCTTTGATGGATGTGTTCTTACATTTGTATATTGCAACTTTGTGAGGTTGTTGTCTAACCATTTGCAATTCTCTCATAGAAATTGCTTAGTTGGAATTCTTGACTACTGACGCCTTATTTATCTCTATCTCTCTCCCTTACTCGATTTTTGCAGATTGTGGTTTGGAGATTTCTTCAGAGATCCAATGGGTCAGATGTGCTTGCTACAAAACAAGCATTGTTTTTCATTGTCTTGCTTCAGTATGTTCCAAGACTGCTTCGAGTGTTACCTTTAACTTCGGAACTCAAAAGAACAGCAGGTGTCTTTGCTGAAACTGCGTGGGCAGGTGCTGCGTACTATCTGCTGTTGTACATGCTCGCTAGCCATGTAAGTGGCTATTTGGCTTGGTTACCTTTCTTTTTCCATCTGAATTGTATATATTGTTTGATTGGTCGCTTGCTCAATTGGTCCTTTTTGCCTCTCTTGGTTTCTTACCTTTTGGGCAGAAATTTCAACTGAAGTGCCTCGAATAGTCATATATTGGAGATAACTTTTCTTGGCTAGTCTCATGTTACTGAAATTTCTTATATATTTATGACATAATCATGGATTATTCAATCATCATAATTTTTTTTTCCCGAGGGATCATGATAATGTTTCGAGAACCTATAAAGCTGTTGCATCAAGTTTCATATCAGCTGCAGTGTACGAGAGAGTCGAAGAATGAAAGTCTTGTCTTTTCATACCTTTCCTTTAGCATGTTTAATTTTTCTCCGCTTAAAATATTTGATATTGTGGAAGAGTCTTGCAGATAGTTGGGGCCTTTTGGTATTTATTAGCTGTGGAACGCAACGATACATGCTGGCAGAGGACCTGCAAGGGGCAGCTTGGATGTGATACAAATTACTTGTATTGTGGCAATCAACGCATGGCAGGTTATGATGATTGGTTCAAAGACGGAAATTCTACTCTCAAGACGAAGTGCTCAGCAAAAGGAGATGATACAGAATTTGATTTTGGAATCTACAAAAATGCTTTGTCATCTGGGATTGTTTCATCGAAGAAGTTTATTTCTAAATACTGTTACTGCCTGTGGTGGGGACTGCAAAATTTAAGGTAATATGTTTTAATGGTGATTTTCAGTGTAAAGTTTTTCTTACATTCTATAAATAATAATAAATAAATAGAAGTGTTTCTAGCATGTTTATGTGGCTTGTTCTGGTGGTGCCGCGTGTTTACTAATCAGGAATTGAATGAATAGGACATAGATTCCAACAAAAAAAAAAAGAATTAAATTCTACGAAATTAAATTCCAAAACTCCATTAATGTGTTTACTAATTATTCGGGAATCAAGTTACAAGAGGAATTAAATTCCTATTATATTGTTTACTTTGCTAAAGAATTTGAAGGAATCAAAATAAATGAAGCGTGGTCACAAAAGTACCCTTATGTAGAGTAAATAACTAAATTTCAGGAAGGATACATTTGGTAAATACTGGTTAGTTGGTCCTTATTTTTGGGGAAAGGAATTCAATTTTGTGGTAGGAAATGAGAGATAAGTTCCCCCTTATCAAGTTGCCAACCTCATTTAATTTCCAAATAGAAAAGTAAACACTGGAATTTTATTCCAGATGTAGTACAGGATTAAACTTTCTTGGAAGAGAAATAAAAAAAATTACAGTTGAACAAATTAGGCCTAAAAAATAAAAAACCTCGTGACAAAATTACTCCTTATAATGCACTAGAGAATAAATTAGAAACTGAGTTTAGCAAAAACGTTATGTAAGGCACAAATACTGTGGAAGATTATTTTGTCAACATCTGAAAGGGAAGATCAGCGGCTGGAAAAACTATCATCTATGTCTTCGTCAAAACTTATAGGGTTTCATAAGGTTTCAAGGAGCATTATTGCAGAATACTCATTGTTGTGCTGTTAATGGAACAAGTCCATACATTTCTTTTGTCCATTGTTTGTTTATAGAGTTGAACCGGTGCTAAATAGTGACAAGTCAATTCCATTTCTGTACAGTACACTTGGACAGGGGCTTCAGACCAGCACATATCCTGGAGACGAACTGGTGCTAAATAGTGACAAGTCAATTCCAATTGCTGTACAGTACACTTGGACAGGGGCTTCAGACCAGCACATATCCTGGAGAAGTTATATTTTCCATTGCACTGGCTATATTTGGACTCATCCTCTTTGCTCTTCTCATTGGCAATATGCAGGTATGTTGGAACTACTTGGTTGTATCTGTTATCTATATATTTCACAGGTAGTAGATTTATTATATTTAATAGTATAATACTTGTTTAGATAGTCTTGCGTTGTTATCTCACTTCCCCCCCCCACAGTTAGTACTACGTTAGTGATTTTGTGCTTTTTATTTGGAATTGGTACTTATGGAATGCAATGCGAGGAAATATCATTTGATCATGGTACTGACATTTGGGTGTTTTATCCTCAGACATATCTGCAGTCCCTTACCATACGGCTTGAGGAAATGAGAATCAAAAGGCGTGATTCAGAACAGTGGATGCATCATCGGTTGCTTCCCCAAGAGCTCAGGGAGCGGGTTAGGCGATATGACCAATACAAATGGTTGGAAACACGTGGAGTTGATGAAGAAAGTCTTGTTCAAAGTCTGCCTAAGGATCTAAGAAGAGATATCAAGCGCCACCTTTGTATTGCTTTAGTGAGGAGGGTATGGGTTTTAAGCTTTGTTACCTTCTTTGTATACCGTAGTTTTACGAATGTGATTCATAACTTATCCATGTCCTTTAATTTATATAAAGGTGTTGCTTTTGATTTATAGGTTCCTCTCTTTGAAAATATGGACGAGAGGCTGCTTGACGCCATCTGTGAGCGATTGAAACCGTGTTTATTGACGGAGAGTACTTACATTGTTCGGGAAGGGGATCCAGTTGACGAGATGCTTTTCATTATTCGTGGCCGCCTCGAGAGTATAACTACTGACGGAGGGAGGAGTGGGTTCTTCAACCGCAGTTTACTCAAAGAAGGCGATTTTTGTGGTGAGGAGCTTCTGACCTGGGCACTGGATCCAAAATCTGGCTCTAATCTCCCGACATCAACTCGGACTGTGAAAGCTTTGACAGAAGTAGAGGCTTTTGCCCTTATAGCCGAGGAGCTCAAATTTGTGGCTAGCCAGTTCCGGCGCCTCCACAGTAGACAGGTTCAACATACTTTCCGATTCTACTCCCAGCAATGGAGAACCTGGGCTGCTTGCTTCATCCAAGCAGCATGGCGCAGATATGCCAAGCGAAAGGCCATGGAGCAGGTTCGTCGTAAGGAGGAAGAAGAAGAAGCAGAAGGGGCAAGGGCCAATGCCAGTGGTGCTACATATAGTCTTGGCGCCACCTTCTTGGCTTCGAGGTTTGCTGCAAATGCTCTAAGGGGAGTTCATCGAAACCGGAATGCAAAGACTGCTAGGGAGTTGGTGAAACTTCAGAAGCCCCCTGAGCCCGATTTCACTGCTGAAGATGCAGATTGATATTGTAGTGTATAATGACACATTTTATATCCACTGATAGCTATTTGCTCAAAAGAACAAACAAGAAAGAATGTACTAATAACAATGTATTTGTTAGTATGGGTGCAAAATTATGTATTATACACGTACACGTTTCATTACTTGGTATTTGTGATTGTGAAGTTTGCTGAAAGCAATTCTAAAGATTGTGTTTTGTTGTAAATGATTTCACGTGAGCTTGCACTGAAAAATAGAGCAGATCCCATCTGGGCAATGGAACCTTTTGGACATGATTTTGAAAATTAGTCCTTGTGGAAATAGATTAGTCTAATGTAACTCTTTGCTTTAATTGTTAAAATTAATATAATGGAGGCAAATTTGTTGCTCTTATTTCGCTTTTACATTTTTGAACTTCGAAAATCGACACTTAGAACAACACAAAGAATTGGAAATAGTGAATGTTTTTCTTGGACTGGAAAATAATGTTTTGAACTTCCTTCAGAAAATGACTATTGCTGGTTTCTCAAAATAATTCCTATATTGTTGGATTTCAAAATAATTCCTATCCGTGGATATGACAAGATCCATGATAATTTTTTCTTTTCTCAGCCAAACGACCTTATTGCTGGTTTCTCAAAATAATTCCTATATTGTTGGATTTCAAAATAATTCCTATCCATGGATATGACAAGATCCATGATAATTTTTTCTTTTCTCAGCCAAACGACCAATTCTCACACACTCAAACCAGAAAAGCACGAGGCAATTGGAAGGAAATCAGAGAAAATCTACTAATCAACTTCAACACAGCTCTTACAAACCAAAATCAGCTAGAGAAAATTAAAACCGAAATGGATGGATCGGAGTATTCAAGGACTCTAGAGAACTTCTAACTCGGTGGTATTCGAGAGACCAACTCTCTTAAAGATTTCCCAAATCCTCACAAATCCCAACATAAACCCTCTATAGCTTTGAACCACCCTATTTATACTCGGGAGATTTATATTTTTATACTTTGTATTTTTGTTTTTTTAAAATTTATATTATCAGTTTTTTATCTCATTAAATGTATACCTTCAAATTAAATTTAATATACAAATTTATGCCTTATCTCAATTAATATTTGATTTTAACCTTCAAAATGACTAAAATATCCTTAAGAAAAAGGGAAAAAACACTAAAACTTTACAATATTATGATAATTAAAAATTAATAACAAAAAAATACTCATTTGAATGGTATTTTACATATTTCAGAGGTCAAAATTGTAAATTTAAAGTTTTGTTTTAGGTTTTTTTTTTTTTTTTTTTCTTTTTCTATGTTTTTATTTAAGGGTATTTGAAGTATTTTTAAAGTTAAAATCAAAGATTGACTGTGAAAGTGTATACATTTGTGTATTAAATCTAATTTAAATGTATACATTTGTGTATTAAATCTAATTTAAATGTATACATTTTGTGAAAATGTATACATTTGTGTATTAAATCTAATTTAAATGTGTACATTTAATAAGATTAAAAATTAAAATTATAATCTTTAAATAAACTCAAAACACAAAGTATAAAAAGGTAAACATTGCTTTGTACTCCTAAAAGACTGGTCAATAATAGAAACAACTAACAAAGCCACAAAACCAACTAACTAGCTATTAGGTCTCCAACAGTATGTCTGTCTGTATGTATGTGTATATGTTGTTTTTCGGTTCTATTATTATTTTTTTTAAACATGCAGGCTTTTAAAAAAAAATTGACTTCGTAAAATATTAACTACTAATAAATCAATAAAAAATTGAATTTTGACCTGAGCAAAAAACCTTAAACACGGATAAAATTTATAGTGTCGCATATTTGGCTCAAAACAAAGGGGAGAATTTTAGGAGAGAATTTTCAATATGTGGCAAATCTATACTTCGATCAAGTTGCATAAACTACCCCTCAACAAAAAAAAATAAATTAATTAAAAAAAACAAAAAGAAAAAGAACAATAAAAGCAATAATTGCCTTCTTTTCCTTTGCCCTTTAGAGAAATTCCAACTTCATCCCGTTTGAACTTTTCTTCACTTATAGCTTAGATCCTTAGTTCTAATAAACCGGAACACATTAAACATGCCTCATATTTGTGCACACAGTTTGGTCTTCAAGAATCTGTACCCTAACAAGACTGATCCTTCAAAGCATCTAGTATCAGAAACAAGGTCAATAAATGATTCCAACAATGGCAAAAGTTTCAAACTTTATGCATACAAAATACGAAAAAGGACACATTTTCATTCTAGCAGAGTTGAATTAGTCAGTAAGGAATGAAATGGAAAGAAGCAGCATTAGTTAGAGACAAAAATTCCATTTCCATTTTGATTTAAACATTAGAGACAGTAAGATTGCTTTAACAGTTTCAAACAAATGTTTCATACAGAACAGTAAAAAGGCTAAATAAGAAAAATGCACCAAAAAAAAAAAAAAACTAGAGCTGACAAAGAACATGTATTGAGAATTTGAGAATGCTAAGAATAAGAATTTCTATGGCCTCGAGATTCAGAACTGAACCCAATTGTTGTAAGCTCCGGGAGGACATTACATAATGTACCATCCCCAAGTGATTTTTGTGCTTCCTCGTGTAGAAACAAGTCTATAATTTCCTTTAGATTGCAATAAAATGACGGATCAGTCGATCTTCACCGACGAATAGATGAGCCTTGTGAACCAGAAGCACGCATAGAAACCGATTGTGCCGGTCAGCACAAAGAAAGCATAGGAGCCAATCAGCATGTAGCCGAAATACAAGGCTCCAGATACTGGCTTCTTGATGTCAAGCTTGGTGAAGAAATAGAATGCTGCGTAGAGGAAAAGGTAAAGCGCTGAGGACCCTGAAGTCAAATACGACCTCCACCACCAGAGATAGTCCTCACTGCACAACTGGAAGTAGCAGAGAACAATCGTGATCTCGGCGCAGGTGATGATGAGGATGATGAAGACAATGAATAGAAATCCAAATATGTAGTAGAACTGATGCAGCCATATTGAGGTGAGAATGAAAAAGAGCTCAATGAAGACAGCGCCAAATGGGAGTATGCCTCCAATTAGGATAGAGAAGACAGGATTCATGTACCAAGCCTGTTCTGGGATCTGTCGTGGGATCTTGTTTGTTTTCACTGGATCCTCGATTGCAGGCTTCTTAAAGCCGACATAGGCACCAACAAAGACAAGTGGAACAGAGATGCCGAACCACAAAATTACCAGAGCAAACATGGTTCCGAATGGGACTGCCCCAGATGACTTCTCACCCCAGATCAGAGCATTCAAAACAAAGAAAATGGCAAAGACAGTTGCAGGAAATGTGAAAGCTGTCTTCAGAGTGATTTTTTTCCATTCTGTTCCCTTGAACATTTTATAGAGGCGGACAGTAGCGTAACCAGCGAAAAGTCCCATAAAGACCCAGAGTAGGAGCATGGCTGTCATCAGCCCACCTCGGTTTGAGGGGGAGAGGAATCCAAGGGCAGCGAAGATCATGGTGACAAGAATCATTCCAAAGAATTGAACACCTGTCCCAACATATACACACAGTAAATCTGAGTTTACTGGAGGCCTGAAAACATCACCATGGACGAGTTTCCATCCCGTCTCTTCTTGGGCTTCTTCTTGAGTCTCAAGTTGGTTGTACTTAGAGATATCTCTGTAAAGCGTTCGCATCATGATCATAGCCACCATGCCGGAGAGGAAAAGGACAATCATCAAAGAATTAACAATTGAGAACCAGTGGATCTGATCATCAGCCATCAGAAGATAGGTATCCCAACGTGACGCCCACTTCACATCACTCTCCTAGAAGATTAAACAATAGATAAGGCAGTCAGAACTCAGAAAGAAAGAAGGTTAGGAAGCCCAATCAAAATGGAAATTGCGACGCATTTTCTAAACTTATATATATAAGTGTAGTTACTAACCTCAAAATCTACATCATATGTAAATACGATTTCCTTTTTATCCTCAACCTCCTGAGGCATTTCAGAATTCGTCACTTGCTTTCTTGCGTGAGGATCACATGTTGTTAACCGTTTGTTGTCACTCCACTTACCATCATAAGAATGCTTGATACTAGATTTGACAAAATATTTCACCATCATCATTACAGGAATAGACTACCACAAAGAGAAAAAAAAATTAGCATAAAGAAGCAAAGCATAAATTATAACCTGTACGGTTTGACCTCGAATCCTACAATCCTTGCTAATTCTGTAACTGGATCTTTGTGATACTTGACTTTAAATGCCAAGTGATTGTGGATAAAATGCTTTTCCTCCTTGCTCTGTGATAAATTATAATTATAATTATAAGAAACGAACGACCCAACTTGCTAGGAGAACAATGCAAAAAGGAAAGACAAAGAAAGACTAGTAACCAGTAACAAATGCCTCCACCTACCCCTGCATATTGTCCCCTAAGACCAACATGAAACCCATGTTGATACACAATGGAAGAATCCAAATCAGTCCTTCGAATGGGAACAACAAGAGGAAGATTATCCAGAATCCTGTCATGTATAGCAACGGTCATCAGAAATACACGCAACACCCCAGTAATTGACCTGAAATTATATATATGCATATGTATTTAGAGTTAAGAGTCTCACAAGTTCGCTCGGTACTCATCATCTATTTTTTCCTTCAATTCCTTGGCAGTTTTTGCATTAAGGGTTATATGACACAGAACCTTGCACATCTCGGGTTCTCTCATTTTAAACTGCAGCAACAATTAAATTGTTTCAGTTCATAAACAACATACATTAAGGAAAACATAACAGCAGAAAAATTCATCCGAAAAGTCTAAAGGACCTCATAAGGAGAGTTCTCAATGCGATCACCACGAAGGACTTCCCCCAGATTCTCTGCACTGTCGACTATGTGCCCTGGTCGACAGTACGGGAGGGAATAGTATGAGTAAGGCAGCTGTGTTTTTGTAGATGTCAGTTTGTTTACTTTCACCTTCAGCAGATCCCCCTGCAATTGATCAAGACAAAACTTTTAATGCTGCACGTTAATAATCTTAGCAGGAAAACTCATACACATTCCAATTACATAAACATCAACTGAAACTCCAAAAACTCTCCAAGTTAGCCAAAGATTTGGGTAAGGGAACAATACCCATGATTCTGAAGTCCATGCGAAACATCAAATCTCCAAAATTTCATAAGTTGAATACAACATATATATATATATATATATGTGTGTGTGTGTGTGTGTGTGTGTGTGTATGCATGCATGTATGTGCGTATAACTATAAACAAACAAGTTCGGTGTAGTGTTCATACATAGATATAGATATTAGATATAAAAACAAATTCTAGGCCGTTTTAAGAATCCAAAACACTAATCTTTAGCCAAAAATTCACATCCAAAAACAACAACACATATCAATCGATTCCAATCTATCAAAAGCGCAAATTCAGAAACCAATTCATAGATCTCAATCACCCGTGTCAAACAATCGCATCAACACACAAAGATTATCACAAAATACGAAAATCACCACCACCACCGACACTCCGCAAACAAAGCGGATCTGGATTGCACTAAGCAACACACCCCAAAATCGACAAAGATCTAACCCTAAATTCCACTATGCTCGCACAAACGCAGACATTTACACGCAAATACACACATTTATATACACGAATAAGCATATGCATGCATGAATGTATACAAATGCAAAGGAACTGAGCCGACCTTCATGAAATCCTGAGGGGCGACGCCGGGGAGATAGAAGCAGCGGACATGGAAGAAGAGGATGAGAGAGAAACAGATCCATAGCTCAAGAGCGAGAGCTGCTCTCGCCATGGCTTCGTTCGCACAGAGAGAGATCTAGATCTCAACAGCGCCTTCCCTTCACTTTCTCTCTCTAAAATTCTCTCTTTCTCTCTCTAGAACAGTCTCTCTGTGTGATTTTGGTGTTGCTCACTTTCTCTCTCTAAAATTCTCTCTTTCTCTCTCTAGAACCGTCTCTCTGTGTGATTTTGGTGTTGCTCACTTTCTCTCTCTAAAATTCTCTCTTTCTCTCTCTAGAACCGTCTCTCTGTGTGATTTTGGTGTTGCTGGGAGTCTCAAAAATGAGGTGAGTTTTTCTTTAAAAACACGAGAGAAGAACGAGAGAGCTCTTTCTCAACCGAAAAAAATGTGGATTTGGAAATTTACAATTCAGTGTACATTGAAAGTATAGCCCGTTAATGACCGTCCGATCTACTAGAAGCAGATCGGACCGTCTGTTGTTTGACGGGGAATATTATTTTATGATTGCGTGAGGACAAAATGGTCATTTGGAAATCACTTTTATTTTGCTATTCGACCCTAATCAAAATTTCTCAATCTCGTAAACACGTAAAGTAAACCGACCCTAATATTAAAAAATTATTTAACAACTTACAAGAAATATAATTATTTTTTAAGTCATTGTCACGTAAAAATTAAATAATTTATATAATTATTAAGAAACTTTCCTGTAACATTTTAAAATTTAAACTACCGACTTGTCTCTGTTTTTTAAGTAGATCTCTATCACAATATATTGTTCTGTAATTTTTTATTTTTATGATCAGAAATATGTCTTATTAATAAGACGTCTTATTATAAAAAGACTCTAATAATTAATTAATTAATTATTATTATTATTATTATTATTATTATAATATGAAGATCTTTACGTTAAGACTTAAAAATATAAAATACTGGTAGGTTTTCATTTCTATTCGTTAAATTTATAAAAAATTGTCTATTTTACCAATTTTTTTTGTTTTGATGTAATTTTAATCGAATTAAATGGTCTAAAAATGTACTATTTATAGGGGACTCATATTGTAAAAGAAACCTCATTGTAGGACCGTTTGGTTTATGTATTTAGAATTATGATTCAGAATCATTCTTATTTTATGTGTATTTTCTGTGAGAGAAAATACTATAGAGAATCATGATTCATGATTCAGAATCAATGACGAATATAAGAAACAAACATGTTATTTTATGTCTAATTTTAGTGTTTCAAACTAATTAATCATATCATATCATATCATATTGTGTAAAATATTAGACTTGCTTTTTAATTGTGCTTATCATGATGATATGATATGATTTGATTTGATTTTACATACTATTTAGAACACCAAAAATTTAATAAAAAATCTGGATCTTTTTTTCATGTGATAGTAGTTTAATAATTATTATAACTATTAATGATTATTGTTGTTATTCTGCATGCTATTGTGGTATTATTAAAACGATTTGGCAATTAAAACATAATAATAATAATAATAAATGAAAGAAATATCTGTTATTAGTGTTTTATGAAAAACTGCCTCCTATATCAATTATATTTTTCGTCTTGTTGATAATAAAATATTTTAGCGTGACATGAAAGAATACTCTATTCATACTACATGTTTTAAATTGTCAATTTTTTATTTAATTTTGTTATGTTTATGTACTGGTTAATTAATGAATTTGTACTTTATAAACTGCTTGGAATACTCTTGTGTTTCTCTATTGAGATCTTATTATTTAAAGCATTTGATTTATTTAGAGTTATGATTGATATTTTGTTGATCAAGATAAAATTTGTTCTTGAGTTTATCGGCTGTATTTTTGAGTTATGACAATTTGAGTGTAGATTTTGAGTTAAAATTGAGTTATAATTTGTGTTGAAGTTATAATTTGAGTTTGTATTTGGTTGTGCACATTTGAGTTATGGTTTGAGATGAGAATCTTTTGAAGTTTGTGTTTGGGTGGGTCAAAATTTGAATTTGTATTTAGATAGTATTTTAATAAAAACTCAATGATGATGAAAAATTTTAATACGGTATATATGTGGGATTTTATTTGTCTCTTCGTTGTGAGGGCATAAAAGAAGAATCGTCTCAATTTGAATTAAAACGAAAAAGTTATAACATCTTTAAGAAAAGAAAAAATATTGTTTATTACCTTAAGTTTGAGTTTAGGAACTTGAGTTGCAAGGAAAACTTGAACTCAGATTTTAACCCCAAATTAAAGTTAAAATTCAAGTTAAAACTCAAGTTTAAACTCAAATTTTACAAAAGAATCTGAATTTGAATAAAGTTGTAATTTAAGTTCAAACTTTTTTTGAATTTGGGTGCAAACGAACAAGTCTTTGGGCTTGTTCTTTTGAGTGAAAAACTCAAAAAAAAAAACAACTCGAGTTACAACTTTATTCGAGTTCATGTTCTTTTAAGTTTAAACTCGAGTTTAAACTCGAGTTCAAACTCGAGTTTAGGACTAAAATTTGAGTTCAAGTTTCCCCTTCAACTCGAGTTTAGAAACTCGAACTTAAATTAATAAACAATATTTTTTCTATTCTTCAAATGCTATAACTTTTTCGTTTTAATTCTGATTGAGATGATTTTTTTTCTATGCGTTGACAACGAAAAGACGAATAAAACCCGACCCATATACCATATTAAAATTTTTCATCAGCATTGAGTTTTTATTAAAATACTATCTAAATACAAATTTAAATTTTGACTCACTCAAACACAAACTCAAAAAGATTCTTATCTCAAACTATAACTTAAGAGCCCGTTTAATTTGTTGATTCGAGTTTTTAATTCGAGTTAAGATGTGATGTTATGTGAGAGCTTTTTACTGTAGTAAAAAAGTTAGATGTGACTGTTTCTGAGAGCTTTTTACTGTAGCAAAACTCGAATTCTAAACTCGAATTGGCGAAGTGAACGGGGCTTATGTACACAACCAAACACAAACTCAAGTTATAACTCAAATTCAACTAAAGAATTATACTCAAGTTAAACTCCAAAAGAAGAAACCCTTTAGTTTTTGAAAAGTTGAATTTGAGGTGCATAATTCAGATCTGATAAAGAAATCTGGAAGTTGCCCTTTTTTATTGTGCAGGTCAAAAGAGTTTGCCTCACCCCGGACGGATATTTGATTTATTATTAGTAAGTCCATGCTTTCATGATCGGTTTAAACACACATTTAAGAAAAGTCCTGTTCTTGATCACGTTTGATAGTTAAAAGTATATCGGGTATGTTCAATTATTGATCGATTCTTCAGATATGCAGGTGTAAATTTGGAAACTTTTGTTTTAACGTCTGGTTAGATTGCCTTTGATTTCTTTTAGATTTCCTCTGTTTTAGAAGTTAACATTTGTTTAGACACTAATTTAATTTAACTTACCCGATTTTCACAATTAACTGTACTTCAAAAAAAATGTGGGGGGTGGAGATCCAAACTCCTCACTTTATGGTGGACTTAATGCTATGTTTAGTAAGATGGATAAAAAAGAGGAAGAAAAGAGAAGTGAAATACATAAGTAAAGGAAGCAAAATGATTTTTTCTCATGTTGTTTGGTAGAAGTGAAAGAAAAGTGAAAAGAAAATATTAAATCTAAGGCATTTTACAATAATATTCCAATACAAATAAAAATATGATGAATGGTAAAAGTTAAAATTATTGTTTTACACCTGATTTGTTTGTCTAATTTTGTTCCTCCTCTTTTCTTCCCAAAGTTGGAAGGATTAAAAATTAGTGGACCCTATGGATTTTTATTTTTCTTCATTCTTCATTTCCTCTCTACCAAACAACTTAAAATTCCATTTTTCTCTCTAAAATCCTTCCTCTATTTTATTTTCTATATTTTTTTCACCTTACCAAACACACTGTAAGTGTTAAATTACCACTAATCTATGCTCGCAACCGTATATAGTTAACTATACTTTAAGTTGGTCATTTTTTGAAATTTTTTATGCTTGCAAGTTTTTTTTTTTTTTTTTTTTTTTTTTTTTTTTTTTTTTTTTTTTTTTTTACTGCGACTGCAAATTTATGTTTAATAAGGATTGATACTAAGATTATAGAAATCTGACTTTCCTTCTCAACAATACATGTGTTTAATTTGACTTATCCAATTTTCATAATCAACTAGATTTTAAATTAGTTATTTTTGGAATTTTTTATGCTTTAAATTGTGTTCAATAAGGATAGACATGACTTAGATCAAAGAAATCTGAGTTTCATTTTTTCAACAATGGATTTTGTGTAGATTTTGCTCGTTTCTCAGAACTGTCAACGCTAACTAGGGATCTGTTTAGACAAACGAAATCAAATGCATCAAAGAATCCATGTCTGAAGATTTCAAAGAAGAAGCAACATATTTTGAGTGATTGATGCGGATTTGAAGCCCACTTTCGGCAGCATATTCGAAGAATACCTGCACTATAAATAGACCCTTAGGCATAAGCAGTAAACTCGGAGTGCTTTGTGTGATTGTTTATTCTTAGGGCGTTTTCCTTATTGATATGATATTATGATATTTTTGTGTTATATCATTGGATGAATACAAGTTGATCAATATGTTGATGCCTTTGCAATTGGCCAGTAATTTGTGCTCTTTAATATTTTCAATTTGCATTTTTTGGGTCGTGTGTCATGTCCTAATTAATTACCAAAATGATTTCGTTAATTTTGAAAAACTAAGTAATGAATGGTTGATCTAATGCGAAAAGGCGTTATGATTGGTGCTGCATCATCTCATCTATGATTAAAACATAAAAAAGAAAATTTATCTAGAAAAAAATTAATCAAAAAAGAAAGAAAGAAAAGAGGAACATCATGCGACCTATTGCTAATCAAGTAAGAATGATAAGTGAGGAATCAATACTCATTTCCTTTTCTAATAAAGAGGACGGAAAAATGGGGAATAACTTCTTTGTGCCCTTTTACCTTTCTCGGGAGACCTCTTATTAAATATACAAAATTAAGTCCAAGTTTTTAGCTTGACATTTTTTACCCAAAAGAATTGGAAAGGCGCAAAAAGACACTAATAAGAACTTAAATAAACAAAATAGAATAAATAGAATCACAAGTTAGATTAGTATACCCCTTTGAATCCCTTAAAAAATACCCCTTTATAGATATGTCAATTGGACCTAGCTATCCATTGAGCACGACGGCACG